GATCGAATGAATGTCTCAAACCAGCTATTCAAAGAACGATGATGTGTTGTGCATGGTTTTGGATACAAGCACTAGGAAACTTCATTCCTTAATCAGTTAGACAAGGGGGAACAGGACCAGATGATTCACGCTGTTCATGTTTATATGCTTAGCTTGCTGATGGTAAAGATGCCGTTTCATGTCTGTGATGATCTGTGTGGCTGGCCACGTGTGTACTGCACAGCATGTGCATCTGCCTATGGGGAATGCGTGTTCAGGCTCCTCACTGGCTGAACCTCGGGACACAGAACTGCAGCAACCTCACATTTATTGCCACAGGACACAAGGCATCGCCAGGTCTTACAACACACCAAAGATGGCTCCAGCAGACCACAAAAAACCCTGAGTCTTTAAGTTCATAGGATCCGATGCCTCTAACACAGTTTGTAAGATTGCCCTATATATATTTATCGTAAGCAATAATGTCAGATGATTGACTGCATTAATCTCACAGTTTACATATATGTGCTTTTCTAGTTTTAAAACAACAGTTTCTAGTTTAAAATATTTCACTGTAAAACTTGTCCAAACAGTTTCACATTTTCTTTCACCTTTACAACACAGAGTAAGCTCTCACTGCAACATCATCACCACAGGCTATCAGAATTGATCAGGGGTAGGATTATTGGTTCTGATGTATGCTGACAAACACTCTGCCTGCTTTCCTCTCAAACTTCAAACACACTATACCATTGAAACCATTTGCTTTTTTGTCCACAGGCAAAAGAACTGCTTGCTACTAAAGAGAGCAACCTTTGCTTCTACCTTTGAGATCCTAACAACTAACCATTCAAACTGACAGCACCAGCCAGGGTCAAAATCTTCTTGTGTCCTGAGGAATGTACCTAGAAGAGCTGCACCTTCATTAGTCATTCCACCTTGGGTGAGATAACATTCAGAAACAGCAACTGCTTTCATTTTATCTTCTGATATTAATGTGCCCTTTCATTTCAAGCATTAATGACATCAACTTGAGTTCAGTGCACTTTTCTAACAAATAATTGATTTAGTTTGTTTGCCTAGTTGTTCTTACTCCTGGGTTCTGACTGATGCCTGTGATCTTGGCATTCTCTCCTAAGCACTTGCCAAACTTTAACACAGTTACAAACACTCTTTACCTTTATCCCTGTCCCCAGTATTTCCTTTTCACTTCCCTCAGAAGCTCCCAGCCAATGGAAAATATTAGAAGCAGGGAATCAAGTTTATTTAAAACACCCGTTTCTTAAAGTCTTGAGTCATACAGACCTCTATTAATCCTTGTTCTTCACATTAATAAGTCAATCATGTTGCAGCAGCACCAATAATTCTTCTCTTTTGTCAGGCTGATAACAGTAGAATCACTTTTATATTTAAGTTCATGTTTGTTCAAAATTTTCTACTTGTGTAGTCCTGTCTAGAATCTACTTTGTAATGTCAAACTGAAGTATCAGGTACGTACACAACAGGGAAATTCTCTTTGCAGCTTTAACTTCTTCCTGCTACGTGCTAGTCAGACCAGCAAATGCACCTTATTTAATGTAACTTCATACTAATCATACATTTAACTGCCTCATTACCTTAACATCTTTCCTTATTTCCAATTTCACCTCAATGGCAAAGCCACCACTGCTCAATTTTTTTTCCTTTTTACTACTTTGAAAGTTTGAGACTTTGAAATTATCTCCAAAATATTATCTATAAAAAAGAGTGTCTCTTTTCATTATTCAAAGTTCTTAAAAGTTTTCCATACTTCCCAATAAGTTATTCAATTGTGGTGTAGCAACATATTTAGTGATTTCTAATATTTTGTTTTCTTCACTTTATAAAGATTTCAGACTTAATTGATTTGTAAATGCTGATAAAAAATCCTCTTCTGCAGCTAAGATAGGCAAGTTTCAATTTTAAATTATTTTCCTACTAAAACAGCCACTTTAATGTGAACTTTATATATAAATTTTAGTAGCATATAGTGCAATGAATGCACAAGTCTCCAACCCAGTCTAGGATACTGCAAAATCAATTGTTCTCTGAATGACTGTTCATATCCACTCAGTATAAATGATTGCCACATAAAGCGCATGGATATTTTTCCCTTGTGCACAACACAATTTACTGTATCTAGTTAAAAGAAGGACAAAAAGATTCACATTTTCTACTGCTTATTCAAATTTTGTGTACTTCAAATCTCATTTTGTAATTGTCTCAAGATGTTACAGTGAATGATTCTCCACAAAAAATTTTATGAGCCACTTGAATGCTCATACACCCTTGCTTTCTTCCTTTTATTTAGAAAAGAGAGAGTTCACAGTAATTTCATAGTCATAGAATGAGTCATTCATAATCTCAAGCCTACATATTACATTAAAAAAAATAAATTATAAATGCGTACATCCTCTAGAAAACATTATTATTACTTACAATAGCCAGCAACTACTACAAATGGCAGAAATTACAAGGTTAATTCCCACCTTGAAAACAACAAAAAACAGCATTGAGATTACCATTATATCATTAATATTCATATAAGGACATGTTCACAATTTTCTAGTCTTGCAATCATTGACTTTAAGGCTAGATTCAAGCATAAAATTTAGCACATACTTAAGAACATAAGTGCCTATAGACTCAGTCCCAGAGTGCAGTGGTCATCGGATCATTTGCCCTATCACCTTCTGTTCAGAGTAGACCACCACTATATTCAGTATGAGATACCCAAGTGTTCAAAAGAATTGGAGTCTGATCAAACTGTCTTTCCAGCACTAGTCCCAAAACATCGCTAATCACTTCATGATTTCCGGCATTTCACTATTTTACCATGTAAGCAAGTGAATTTTACAACACTGTAATACAGAAGTACAATTAAACGTTCCATCTCTAATTTTGATAAGAAATTCAGAAAACAGGACTGTGATCAGTGGATACACAACCTTGAACACCAGGAAATTAAATTATTTTCTAAAGTAAAGTTAAAAAAAAAAAAAAATCAAAAATGAAAGTGCCAGCTCCCTCATCCTGCACAGAAAAATGCATAAATTTATGTCTATCAAGGTAAAAGCTTACTGAACACCTTTTTCATTCCTAAACAAAATATCAAGAACTACTGTATTTCATACACACACAAAACCTGATTTGCTTTAGATGAAAGCTTCTTATAAACTACATGCAACTTGGAAAAACATCTAGCTAATATGCAATTACTTATTTCACATGTATTGTTAGATTCAACATGAACATTGCAGCAAAAATAGCTCTTATATTTACAGTCAGTTGAGCTGCCATGAAACATCTTTCTTTTTTTTTTCCTAGATATCAATATCACATGATGACATAAAATTTCCGTACAAGTAAAGGACAAAAAGCAGGAAAGAAAGAATGACAGTATTAGAAAAGAATCAACTATAATTACATTAGAGGATGGAGATTATTTTTTTTTCCAAGATCGGAGAGTTTGAAAAGGCAATGGCTAACAACATGGCTAACAACAACTGCCTTAATTACTAATCTAAAATGGAATGCTCCACACAACTCTTACCTTCTCTAGCACTGAAAAGGATGCTACAAACATTGAACTAGTCGTTGGAAATTATTTCAGTAAAATTAACTTCAAAAAGGTATGAATACAGTGATATAAGTTTAGCTATCAATATAAAACTAAATAACAGACACATTAAAAAATGAAATCCACAGAAGAAGCAATTTCGTGAAACTTTTTCAGGCTTGGAATCAAAATTAACTTAAGCCAGAAGCAGACATTATCCTGGAGAGAGAGAAGTTCAAGCCCAACAAAATTTTATAAATCTCCCTAAATCTTTTTTTTTTTTGTGTGTGTGTGTTCTGATTTAGTGACATGCAATGGCAGCATAATACAACAGAGTACAACAAAGGTTCAGGAGAACAGTATTGGAAAAAAAAAAAAACACAAAAAAACAGTATGTATGACCATCAAGATGACACAAACAGATGAGAATGTTTGTTGCTGAGGATGGGTCTCAACCAGCCCTTTGAATTTTTTTTTTTGTATTTATTTTATTTATATTCACAAAATGACTATGCTGTTGCTTAATCACCATACACACTATTCTTACCATGAAACCAGTACAATCTTTTGTATAACAAGGGAAATTAATGTGAATTTCCTGCTAAGGAGAACGTACCTTTTAGTTTAAATGACTCAGTTAAAGAAAACCATTCAAACAGTTTCTAAATATATATAGCAGATTCTAATTCATAGCACATGCATTACATAGCCGATGCACTGGGGAAACACACCCATATTTACCAAACAATATACATCTAATTTATTCTCGCTTTCCTCTGATGATTACCATTTATACCCCATCAAATACATTTTTATTAGTTCTCTCTATGTGTGTGTAAGTACTTATGGAGTCAGATGCAGCTTGCAGCTTCAATCTGACCAGGGAGCTTCCCAGGTGTAATGTATCTGCTAAAGGCCCCTTACTTTATCACTGCCAAGATAATCTGCACTTACTGCAATTCAACCTGGAAAAGAAGGCAGGAACCACAAGCAAGGAGATGTTATTTTATATCTGAATAATTCTCCTCATTACAATGATGCCTTTTGTTCTGTATCCACATGCCCACATGACAGGAAAGGAAAAATTAAACCCTAATGTGTTTATAATTTTGTGGCTTTTGAATTCCTTAAAGGTATCTTTATTCTTGTGATTCCAGAAACAGTAATAAGCACGATTCAATTGCTTTCCTTGTATTTTTCATTTTTACACTTCTCCGGAGAACATTTATTCATCAGTCGACCAAATGACATAGTTGTAGGTTTTAAACCCTCTCTTCTCAAGAAAATCTCTCCACGTATTCATCATTCCATCTTTCTGTAGTCATAGTAAGTTTAATTTGGTTAGGAATTCTTAGGGCATCCCAGCTTACTACTTCTGTTCATCTGTTACTGATGAGCTTTATATCCCATTAGACTACCTGTTCACCTTGGCTTTTTTCTGGAGTTCTTCAGTCTTCCATCATATTAACTCATTTGAATCATTCAATATTACACGTGAAATTCATCTCCTCTTCAATAGCACCATTCCTAAACAGCTCAAATCTTAGAACAATATATTAATTTACTATATTGTCATACTAAAAAGGACCCTTCATTCTTACTCCTTCATTAATCTCATCTCTCCAGTCTTACCTTTGAATTACTACCACAGTATCTGAATACCATCTGCACAAAATCAATAGCAATCAGGCAATTTTAATGGAGTCTGTCACATTTACTGAGGAATACTTAAGGTGTCACTTAGCCTTACAAGGGGATGTGGTCTGTTATTTTTCTCAAATAATGTCATAATTTAGATCTACTCTGTCTCTTCTAGAAGATTATAATCTGCATAACTCCATTTTTTGTGATTTGTAATAATCTCATAATACTCAATTTTTCATAATGTTTTATTATTTGAAATGTGCATACTCATACAATTCCTGCTGGCCTGTCAGCTACATCTGGCAAAAAGACAAATCTTTGTTTATCTGCTCTGGCTACAACTACAGATATTCAAATAACTGTTTTTTTCTTAATGAAGAAAAGGATTTGGAGCATCAAAGGAAACGTTTTTGACTAAGAAACAAGGGATTATGACTGGAACTATTCTGCAGCAGTAAGTAACACCAAATCAGTACTCTGATCATAAACTAAGCCCATCACTATTGTTCAATTCTGCCACAGCCATTTATAATACAAAATAAGATACAGTATGTCATATACCAGTGTCATGATTAGAACAATAAATTTTAGAACTGCAAATGATGTATACCTCTCTTTTATTTTATAGAACAGCTAAATGAGAAAAAGCATTTGAAGAAGGAAATAAATCATGTGTGAAATTCTTGTGAGAAAACAATCTACTTGCTTCCACAACGTATGTTATTGTTAAACTGCCTAATCAATTACAGGAAGCAAAAGGTGACCCCAGTTTACAGCTGTCACATTTTGATTAAGCCAAAATATGAGATAAATCCTTCCTAGATGCTTATTAAATTTCACCTATGTTAGATGTTTGCTAGCTTTATTTCCTGAAAACTTTTCGTAAATCGCATGCTTTTATTATAGGCTTTTACACGGTTAAATTAAGTGCACTATAAATATTTTAATTATATCACTAAAACAAATGTTACCAAGTAAAAAAAAAAATAAAGAAAAGGAAAAAAAAAAAAGAAAAGAAAAGAAACATTTGTTCCTTTTACCTAAATTTACTGTCAATGAATCATAGAATGATTTTCAGTGCTAAGGCCCTGTGGAGATCATCCTGCTCAAACCATTGTTAACTTCATAGTTTGATAAGGCCATTCAGGGCCTTCCCTAGACAAACTCTGAAATATTTATGCATTTCTTGTATCACATCTTCTTTGAATTGTCCTACATTATCATTTTTTAATTTTTCAGGCTATCTTGGACCATTGATCACAGGATTTTTCCTACACTTTTCCTACAGAAAGAAAAAAGAATTCTTCTCCTTGATAGAGAGAATATAAAAATATTATAGGACACAGTCTAGTTTTATAAAAACAGCTGAGGAATTATTTATTTTTTAGGTTATCAAGTGGTAAAAACTAAAGAGCAATATGGCTATTTTTACAACCACGGATCTCACAGTATTTCAGGGAAAGTTACCCTTCAGATCAATTCTCCAAAAAGCTACTTTAGCCAAACAGATTCAGCTCCAGTAGAGATGTTTCTGTTACTGAATTAGGTAACCCAGCTCAGATCACAGTAGCAATTAAAACACTAAATCCAACAGAATGTTCATGTGCTCTATTAGCACTTCATGAGTGAAGGCAAGTGAGTAGGAACAGAGATTGAAATATTCAGGGGGGAAATAAAGACAGATGAACCTAAAACATAACATCCATGTTTAAAATGCCCAGGATCCAAAAGAGTGGAATACATTTGGGACTTACTCTTAAGAGATTAGACCTTCTCAAGCATACTCATTTCTCTGCTTTTTTTTCCAGTGGGAAAAGCAAATATCTTGGATACTCAATAACCTAATCCACATAATTTGCTGACATTGCCCAACTACTTGTCTGGGCTTCCTCAGAAGGAAATCTAAGCATTCAAGAGGATAGTGGACACAACCTGCACCAAGGACCCAACAAAGGTACACATCAGTGGATCATAACTGTAGGATATACAACAGGTACAGATGTTTTCCTGCCTTTTGACTCCATGCCAATTGAAAATGGACCATTTTCAGACCTGAGGGGAAGTTTGAAGTGGCATGGACATGTTTTTGCAGCATTGCAATGTTATCTTATAACATTGCCTTATAGACCTGAGCTATTTCTGCATGGAAATGAGTGATAGTCTTACAACAGTACTAATGCATTTTCAAAATGACATGACATTACTAACATAATCTAGTCTAACCTCCTGCAAATCACACCACTTCAGTTCCTGAGGCAACGTACTGTTGATCTAGAGCATACACATTATTTGATAAAATTAAAATACGCAGGACCTGCTTTTGCAATGTTATAATGCGGGGTCAAAATAACACAATACAGTAAGGGTTGAAATTTTAGTTTAACTGATTGATGCAATGTTATGAAGAAAGAACTAACTTAATGACCTCCAAACAGTGTCTGGCATTATTTGTTACTTGAAACACAGCAAAACCTTTCACTGAATAAATTCGGGGGGGGGGGGAAAAAAAAAAAAAAAGACAGCATATCTGTTGAAGAAAACAAATTAAGATTTGTATCTAGAAGGGTGACTTAGAAAAAAAATAACCAAAACTTAATTTCGACTTCTACTGTTTGAAAGTATTACCTCCCCATATACAAAGAATTGATTTGTGTTTTGTCTAAGACATCACTTAGACACCACAGAAAATGTTGAAAGACATTTTCCCTTTGCAGGGACTATTTAATTTAGTGGGCAAGCTCATAGAAAACCTTTATTAGATAGCAGTTTGTTTGAAAGACTGACAAACAGAATCAAGGACATCCATTATCAGCAGAAAATTCCCTTGCTTATTTCTGTCAGGCTTTATTTATTTATTTATTTATTTATTTTTGGTCTCCTCACAATTCACTCATTTTACTTTCAAACTCTTTTTTCATCCAATACAACTTCATTAAATGAAAACATGTGCTGGGAAGTAAAAAACATTTATGCTGTAAGATAATAAAATCAACTAAAGTTTACTTTTTTGTCTTTATAGTAGGAACTTTGTAGGTTTATATATATACATATATAAAGCAAGTGAAAGAAAAACTAGGAAGGAGCTGTTTCTGTGAAAAAAACAGTTTCAGGCTTCTGTCGGAGAAGATGCTTTCTTCTACTCGTTTCCTCTACCTGAACTGTTGGTCTTCCTCTTCAGCATTCTACACTCATCTAGCTGTAAGTCTAAATTCCCTACGGGTCCATTAAGGATGTTGCTAGGCAAACAGTCCGGCAGCAACTGTAAAACAGGAGGCTTGGATGGGAGCCAGTTCTGTAGGTCACTACACTGTAAACCTTCACATCATTAGAGAAGACACCAGTCTTGCTAACTGCATCTATTACTGCTATTGTTTCATTTCTCTGAAAAGCTGAAGTTACTCATACTACGCTAAGTTTCCACGAACAGGTATTTCTAAAGCAAAGGCATTCTAGGAGAGTATAATTCTCTACTTTTCACATGTTTTAATACTATCTATCAAGTGTTTAAAAATAATGCAGTCATAAACAGGTTAAACATGTGTAATTGCCATGCAATGAACTTCTAACTTATTATCTTGAAAGGCACATACAACTTAACGGAGCACTTACCCCTGAGTGAACAGTGTGTATTGTACTTTCTTTCTTTTCTTTATTTTAATGACGGTAAATCAAAGCAGACCTATTCACAGAAAATTAGCCAGCTACCACATTATCTGATCCAGAGACGTGCTATCTCTTAGACTGAAGTAATGTTTCTATGCTGCAATCTATCATTACCCTGAAATTGAGCATATAAACTCTTCAGAGCAATCTTTGTATTAATTCAAACAGAACACTATTTAAGCATAGCAAACTGCAGAATCCTGTTGCTGTGAATACACTGCACTACCATGTGGAAGAATCACTACCCCAGTTAGTTGTTCAGAAATAAACAAATATGGTCTCAGAAACTAGAAAACTTCAGTGTCAGATCCATGAGGAAAAAGTATTGCTAGGACATATATGTTAAGGTTTCTTCTTTAGTTACTAGTTTGACATTGAATCAATTCTGAGCTGAAGAAACAATGTGAAACAGAGCAAAATAAAAAACTTTCCTCTGTGAAGTTTATATCTTAAGTGGAAAAAACAGTGTGTTAAAGTGTATGTTAGTGGAACTCTGTCCTGACAAAAAAAAAATTCATCCAGAAAACAAAGCACTCATGATACCAGCTAGTTCTATGTCCTTGTTTGTTCATTATCAGCAACATTTTTAACTTTTATGGTAACAGAAGTACATCAATAATCTCCAGCCTTTATGTTTTCAGATACAAGAAAAAGAAAAATGGTTTTGGATATAGGAATTGGAAATGCATAACTTGAAAGATCACCCCGTCAAAGGTACAGAGATTTAAGCAATGACACTAATGCCAGGCATTTCTCATCACTACCAAGTGCAAGGAAAATAGCAGCAACATCTTTTACAGTTAAGCCCTAGATAATCCTCCACACCCCCTAATTTGTTGGTCCTCGTTTGATTTTCAATCTTTAACAAAATACTGTGTATATATTTACTTCTCCAGAAGTGGGGGAAAAAAAAATCAAGCAGGGAAATGGATTTTTATAACATTCCTATCATCTTTAAAGAGGGTTTAGAATTTGTCTACTTATCCTGTCAACTCCTGAGGAAAAACATCCCCAAAGTGATCAGCATTATTTAAGATCTCTGATACATATGTTTGGGCTTGAACAGGCAAGACAGTAACTTCTAGTTTTACCAACAACTTCCTTGTGTTATTCAGGCTTCTTTTGACTGGAGCTGAGGATTAGGTTAGATTCAAGGAAGTTCTTTAATCCACCTACCCTATGTATATAAACAGAGGTGCCAGAAGGGCTCATTAAAGAACCCCTTTTTACAAAACACTGTGTGCTTTAAAAAGCCTGCTGATACTGACACTGTGTTTTTCAACAGTTCTTAAAAGCTTGGCATTACAAATTGCATTCAAAAGACAAAGATAAGGTAGCAGGTACTAGTAAAAGCTATGTTAGTAAAAGCCTCAGAACCATTAGCAGATTCTTAAAACTGAACATGCTCGTTAGTTTAATAGTAATTCCGTTAAGGAAAAAAAAAAAAAAAAAAAAAAAAAAAAAAAAAAAAACAAACATGATTTACATGTTGTGAGGAAAAAGCAACATAACATGTCTCTTAATGTGCACGTAACAGACACAACCACCAAACTGAGTGGTGCACTGTTGGTTTTGTTTCTTTTGCAGACAAATGCCTGAACCCTCAAGGCACCCAGCAGCTTAATGTCCCCACCTGCCTCACCATCCCTGCCCATGGTCCCATTTCACCACAGTCTGCAGCCATCATTCCCCACAGCAGTGATTCTGTAGGCAGATGATCCCAGCTTCGCCACCTCAAAGGACTTTGGACCCATGGTGTAGCCTTGTCTCCAGCTCTTTCTCTGGTCCCATCACTTTTTGCTGATGATGAGACTCCCGGGATGGCCCCTGGGCCTGGACCTTAGCTGTGCATGGGGCTACCAAAGGACTCCCATACCAACCCTGAGCTCTGCCCCCATGTTTGCACCCTTTCAGTGGTTTACACCCTGCCTTATCTTCCCCATGGAGCCAATCTGCTCTTGCTACTCTCCAACAGTAGATGGAGGAACATGTTTGCATTCATTCATTCACAATTTTACACAAATGCTGAAGGCTTTGCTCTGCAGGCCTAGACATGGGGTAGATCTTCCCTGGCTACACGGGTAGTTTAGAAAGTTCATATGCAATCAGCTAAATGTAGGTGTCCATCTGGAACTGAACCAGGCGCTATTTTCTTATTTGTGCACTTGGGCACTGAAATACTTTGTTAAACCTAGCCAACAATTATTGGCTAATTCACATTTTTTAACTGACTAAATAATACAAAATTCTCCAAGTTCCCTGATATTTTTCCTTAATTCACAGAGCTACTTGCTTCATTAATACTCTTGTCTCCACTGTTACAGCATCACAAAAAAACACCTCATAAACATGAATTCATGAACAGAAGTTAGAAGATAAAACATGGCAGTCCGTGTTGTCAGAACCTGAATATACTGAGCAACCTGTGGAGCATGTCTTCCCTAAAAATACTAGTAACTAAGGAATTAAATAATCCATTTTTGCAGACATGCAGTCTACATTTTTTGATACACATTTAATACGCATAGACAAAACCCGTATCACGAATTCTTTGAAAGTCATTTTCTGCTTGCGTGTGCATCACAGGGGTGCCTAAGGTTGTTCTAAATGGGTTGGCTCAGTTGCTGAGATAGCATAGCCATGCTAGCATAAACCCTGCATAAGGTATTCCAACCATTAGTTGTAACACATTTTTTAAGATAACAGTATATTTAGAAATTGTTTTCGAAAGGCCATATGAACCTAAAGAATCTCAGCTGCCTTAAAAAGACAATCTCATCTTGGACCACAACAAGGGCAGGAAGGAACATGATTTGGACTTGTGTAAAGAAATGGCCATATCTTCTCTAGCCAAAAAAAAAAAAAAAAAGGCATACTTTAAAAGAGCATAATAGATGAGAGCCTTTGGATGCTATGCTAAAACAGTAAATGAAGTATACTGCTGTTGTCTAGTGTTGTCTAGTGGTTAGGTATGCTGCCTAAAAAATTATAGGAAAAATAGCTTTCAAACAACAGCTAAATGCACTCATCTAATCAGTGACATGTACAATGACTTTTATCATGCACCTCCTATTTCTAAAACAATCTTTATGAGAGTTTAGAATAGTTATACATTTTACATGAAACCAAAACTTAGTATTTTCAAAATATAACAGATCATAGATGTATTAAAACAAGAATAAAGTATTTAAAAATGTTTAAACCAAACACAAGTGTATCCTATAAAATGTCATAAATGGCCCCATCCTTTAAAAAAAAAAATCCTCTACATATACTACAAAGCAATTCCAT